TCCTCCCTTGTGTTTATCCATATGTTGTAGTTATCCTAATCATTATAGGATTAGGATAATCATCCCCTTTATTGTTGTAATCCTTATCTCCTAAGGAATATGCTTTATTCTCTTTGTATGTATATATATGTATGTGCACGTGATGAATAAGATATACAGAGTTACAACAAACCTTCTTCTTTATTCCACAACAAAATTTTAGTTATTTCTCTTTATTAAATATCATATTCTTGGCATGTTTTAATTTTTTAATGTGATTTACCTCCAACAAAAAATAATTCTACATCCACGCACCACTATTTATATTGAACACATTCATACATACCTTGCGGTATAACCAACGAGGTGATTCAGGGAGTGTAAACATTAAGATGAACTGCAAAAAAGCTGGAACTCCCGCGATTCCAAGCATCCACCTCCATGTTCCCTTCACCTGAAACAACAACAGAAACATAACATTTGGTACCTTCGAGTAAAGCCAAAGTGAAAGATTGTTTAATATCACTTACATCGGTAAAGCCTAAGTTAATGAGATAAGACAAGAATTGTCCTCCCGTGATAAGGAACCCATTGGTACTGACCAAAGCTCCTCTTATCTTAGCTGGAGAAGCTTCTGATATGTAGAGCGGGGCGGTCATCGAGGCCATACCGACCCCAAGTCCAACAAAAACACGGCCAATGACAATGAGGGATGGGTTAGGAGCAGCAGCCATAATGATAGCTCCTATTAGGAAGAGGAAATCCGCCATGAGAATGGCGCTTCTCCTCCCGAATTTGTCATTGGCCCAACCCCCGATGGCGGCTCCAACGATGGCTCCAGCAACCGCCATGCTCACTATCATCTCCTGTGTTTTCAATTTTTTTTACTTGTAGCTTAGTGTTTGTTTGTAACGTTTGGGTGGTTAGTTAGGTGATTCATAACGGTAAATACAAAAAAACGGCATGATGTGTATAACGGCATGCGCAAAACAGAGTTGAAACTCTTGTGATCTGCTTTTATTAATGCTTGTCCAAATTTTCTGAAAACCTTTTCTTAAGCTTTTGCAAAGTACATAATGATTACTCCTAAAGTTATTAAGGTTTCTTTAATCTGACACTATGATCTCTGTGTTGCTTTGGGAAAAATACAATTTAATTACCACATCAATTTTGTTAAAATAGTCCCTAGAAAATAACCATAATTCAACACATGTTTTTTTGTGGGTAAATTCTAATAAAAAAACAAACATATAAGAACCTGTAACCAAGTTTCTCGGTCAACAGTCTTGAAATCTTCTCTGATATAAAGCAGAGCTCCTGATATAACTCCTGCATGTATATATATAAATCCCATCAAACTTGAACCGCATGTATATATAGATGAGTGAATAACAGATTGAGAAACTTGCCAGTGTCATAGCCAAAGAGAAGACCACCGATTCCAGCGGAGAACGCAAGACGAAGAACATAAGGATTCTTCCATGCTAGAGAAAAACATTCTCTGAAAGCTGATTCATCTGCTCCTCCATGTATTCCTCCTTCCATTCTTTTTTATTTTATTTTTTTGTGTCTAAGTTTTAGTTTAAAGTGTTAGTTGAAGGAGACTGAACAACAGATATAAAGAGTGAGTTTCTCTGTTGTGGTCTGTTTTTTTGTATCTTTCTTTGTGCTGAGAAAGTGAGAAAATGATAAGTGGTTATTATTTCAATGAAGTATATGGTCCAAAACACTCGTGCTAGAAAAATCCAGTTTACTTGTCAAAAATTTCTTCTTTTACCTTTCGGATAACTCATTTTAATTGATTTTCTCCTGTATTTACTTATACATTATGTTTTATTTATTCATCTTATAATTTTTTTGCTAATATTAACTTTCCAAAAATACATATGTATATTTTTTAAAACTTACAAAACCATAATTACAAGTTTTATGATGTTTAATTAACTTTAATTTCCCCCAATAACTTATTAGTATATATTATATACACTTATTAGTATATATTAAGAGTTTTTTTTTCAGTCATAAAAACTCTTATAATTAATAGAACATTTTTTTTCTAACAACGCGTATGATAGACTCGATTAACAATGGTTGGCCATACATATTATTGAGTTGTGTTTTGTTCAGTTTGTTGTAAATAAGCAAACCTTTGGTAAGAGATCATTGTCATCTTGAATTCTTGATCAGACAAAAATAAAAAGGAAAAGGATATGCTGGACTGATTTGAAGAGTGTACATGATTAAAAATTGCTATAAATATAAGTATTTTAGAAATTTGAAGCTTTGTACTTAGCTTTAATCATGCATGCTTAGAATTTTAAAAGTAAACTATAATGAGTATTTAAATCAAATGAGTGATGTGATCATGTGAGTGTGACGGGCCGATTTGGAAGACAAACTATGATCACATGCTCGGCTACCATGGTTTATTACTTTCTAGTCAAGATATGAAAAAATAAATAGGGGAATATGATATGAGTCTACTACATAGTTGCGTATTTTGACAACTGACATCATATCATTTCCCAAATATTATAGCCTCAGTAATCTAGACTTTTCTTTGCCTACTTGTTTGTCTGTCAAAGTTTGAAAAATGCCATACGAGACTAGTCGTCTACACCACGAAATAATTTTCTGCATTGGAATATATTCCTGGATGTATATAGTTTAGTTCAAACTTTATTTTATTTACCTTTTATCAATAAATGTTTAATTGAAAAAAATAGGGAATCAATTGGAGAAAAAAAAAAGAAAATTGACAATGAAAACATTGAAAAAAGTCCCTAATAAGAACGAGTAACTTAATAGGCCTAACGAAAAGGAATTAATTAGGCCCACTAATAAGCCCATTTAAAGAAAACCTAGAAGCGTTAATATACATTCCAGCATCCCTTCCTTCTCCGCCTCACTCACTCTTCCTCCTCAAGTCCTCCCTTGCAACTCAGGTATCTTCTTCTTCTTCGATTCCCATCGTTATACTTGTTCTTACGACCACTATTAGCTTTGCTCGATCTCAAAGTATATATCTTTATATTAGTATTTGATTAAAAATTCAAAATTTACGTATTTATCAAACATAACCTTGTTGAATTACGAACCCTAGATCAATTAGCCATAGTTTTGTCTTCTTCCTGTTGTCTTAATGAATCGTCGTTTCGTGGTCTGATCTGTTCCGGTCTGCTTTGTAATCAGGTGAAAAAGGCTAGAGCTTTAGACAACAATGGCTGCTTTCCCCAACGTTAACTCTGACTCTGGATTGAAAAAGCTCGATGAGCATCTTCTCACACGCAGTTACATCACTGGGTAAGATTCTTTAAACATCTCTAATAAGATTAGATCATAAAGTCTTTACCTTTGTTTGAAACTACAAGAGTAACAACTAACAAGTAGGTTCGTTTCTGTTTGATTTACAGTTACCAGGCTTCAAAGGATGATATCACTGTCTTTACTGCTCTTGCAAAGCCCCCAACTTCGCAGTATGTCAACGCTTCTCGTTGGTACAACCACATCAATGCCCTCTTGAGGATCTCGTAAGCTGTTTCATCACTGATTCGGACTTATTTATTGATTGTCAATTGTTTGGATTCATCTAATGTCTGCTTCTATATTGTTGCAGTGGTGTCTCTGCTGAGGGAAGCGGTGTCATTGTTGAGGGATCAGCCCCAGTTGCTGAAGAGGCTGTTGCTACTCCTCCTGCAGCTGATTCTAAGGTACTTTCTGATTGTTTCTGTTGTGGATTATGGCTCTTGTGATTGTGAATCAGCTGAGCCTCATGGGAATGTGTAATTTGTAGGATGCTGCTGATGAGGAAGATGATGATGATGTTGACCTTTTCGGAGAGGAGACTGAAGAGGAGAAGAAAGCTGCTGAGGAGAGAGCTGCTTCCGTTAAGGCATCTACTAAGAAGAAGGAATGTAAGTTTGAGGTTTTGTCCTTGACTCTTTTAATATACATATATTGGTATGTCTTTGATTCTAATTTGTTTTTGTTTTTCGTCTTGTTAGCTGGAAAGTCATCTGTTTTGATTGATATCAAGCCATGGGATGATGAGACCGACATGAAGAAGCTTGAGGAAGCTGTGAGATCCATCCAGATGGAAGGATTATTCTGGGGAGCGTCAAAGCTTGTACCAGTCGGTTATGGTATCAAGAAGTTGCAGATTATGTGCACTATTGTTGATGACCTTGTCTCTGTTGACACCATGATTGAAGAGCAGCTCACCGTCGAACCAATCAATGAGTTTGTCCAGAGCTGTGACATTGTTGCCTTCAACAAAATCTGTGAGTTTCATTAATAGATTCTCAACTTTTTTTGTTAATATAAGTGTTGTATGTAACTGACTCTTTTTGTTGGGTTGAACCATAATGCAGGAGGATGGAGAAGAGAGCTCAAGGATGGCTTTGTGTGTTTCTCTCTATTTTGATTATTTTTGAGTTTCCTATGTTTGTTTTGATTCTGACATCTGAATAATTCTGATGCTTATGCATACAGTGTTTTCTTTATATTTCATATATGAGTCAAATTTACTAAACGTCTTATTAAATTATTTTTGAGGAGTGGTTTTAACATAGAAAAGCCTCTAAAGGCCTATACAGAAAGGTATTCCTAAAGGTGAAAGACACGCTGATGTCCTGTGAACGAGTTGTTTGATAAGTTCAGAGCAATCAACGTCTAATAGATCCTGGAATCTCTTCGAGGTTTTTCCTGAAAGAAGAAAACCTTTTTTGATCTTTCAACTTTAGGGACAAGGTTTACACCAACTTTGTTTATATAGCCAAGGGGAAAAAGCATAGAACGAAGCTTGATTTGTCTCAAGCGCACATGAGAGAAGACAACCATGATTATCAGGTTGAGATATCAGAGCATGGAACCTGTGTAGAAAGGGATAGTACGGACTTTAAATTTAGCAATGCCGTGAGACACAAGAAAATTTAGTTCATTGCTTCTGTGTTGATCCAAACAAGAAATAGTTGGTGACATCAATTCATGGGAGACCTAGACCCAAATTTCAACTTTGAACCAAATCTCAAATATAAATCAAATTTACTATCCTAGTTGATATTAATTTGTTTATGAAAATATCAAAATTGTTTAAAACATAGTAAACTTAAACAACATCAAGATGATAAAACTTTAACTTAAGAAACAAAAAGATACTCTTAAGACAGATTGGTGAAGTATTTTGTCTTGCATTAAGATTCAATATCAGAATCAGAAGAGAGATAATCATCTGCCTTAAGACTTGGAATAGAATCATCATCAGATTCACCTAAAGCAGACTCTTGCTTCTTACCAATTCCTGCTTCCTCCATCAAACTATCCGTAGCCGCTAAAGCCTCTCCTTGAGTCTCACTCACTACTTCTTGATAACCTTCTTCAGAAACCATATCATCTCTGTCTGAAACATGTCCTAGAGATTCAGGAACCTTCATAGGAACATCAGCTTGTTGAACATTCCCTGGTCCAACCAAATTGTTCCCAAGTTTCAATCTTTTGGTTTCTGGGAGAGGTAGAGTAGTGTCTACACTTCTCTGAACCTCGCTGTTAGCTGGAACATCCACGTCTGCCAGCCATTCGTTAAATACAGCATCCCCATCGCTAGCAAGACCCTTCAACTTGTTCAGACCAGGTGTGTTGTGTTTCTGGCTGGCCAGAGAATTGCTTTGAGGGAATTGGCTGCTCAATGATGGGAAACCGTCAAGTGGAAGTGCCCTCGGATGTATGACAACTTCAAGAGACATGAGAGCGTGAGCACAGAACTGAGCTACTTTCATCTCCCCGTGAAACTTACCTGTTCAAAGTCCAGTATATGCATCAAAACACTTAAAACAGTTTCTGGTTTTTAAAGCTTAGTTTAATTCATGCCAACAATCTTAGTTTACCTCTTTGGAAAAGCTCAAGTCCTTCAGTTAAAAACGCAGGGCGTACTGGTGATGGAGAAACAAGAGATGCCAAAAAGGCACGGAGTGCTGCAAGCTGAAACTCAACAAGATCCGTAGACGACTTATTGGGTAAATAGTGGTAGGTTTCCGCATTGGCACATCTCCCTTCACAAGCACTTGTTGCTGTGGCCATTAGAAGATTATCAGCACGTTCTCTCCAGCTACCCAGTCCCAATGCACCAGCCTGAAAGCCATAAGAAAAGAAGAATATTTGATTCAGGTAACAGAATCATAAACTATAAATACTATTCAGGTACTAAACCACAGAGTCTAACTTCATACTAAACTATCAACAGTAATAAGTTAAAAAGAGCTTACGATGGTGAGAAGAGTTTCTAGTGCCTCAAGAGCTGCTATCTTCAACGAAACCGGGCTACTTGAGTGATTATGAGGGACTCCCACTTCAACAGCAGAGTTCTCTGCCTCGGCACTGGAATTAGATGCATGCTTCCTTTTTTTACTGCAGCCCTTAAGAAGAGCACCATTTGTAAGCGATGGGGTTTTGCTAGATACCGCATCTAAACTAGTCGGGTCTAGATCCACAGAGGCATTAGATACAACTTCATTTGCCAGTTGCATTGCCATTCCTGGTCAGATAACTATGTTAGCACAAATGACCTTTAGTTTCATCACCTCAAGCTGAGAAATGAAAATGCAAGCAACGGCAAGATCTTGGAAAATTACCTACGCCCATGGATTTGAGTAAGGTTTTAGTGATTGAGTAGAGCTCTATCCTCAATTCTGGCAATGAACATTTCCTGAAGTAACTACTGACAAGTCTGACCACAGATGCAGCATAGGGTAAAAGTTGGCTGAAAAAAGGAATCAACACAAGGATGTTGTTTAGTTCCGACCGCAAACGTGTAGTAACAATCCATCATTTGCAAACAAAAAAAAAGACAGCATATTACTACTTCCAACCAAGACAAAAACTACCAAAGGATTACCTGCGTATGCACTTTATAGTAGCGCGCAAGAGTTCCAGAGCCGAAGAATGCAAAATCGGAAGTTCTGCACAAACCAATTCTTGTTGGATCCCTGTCATGAAAGGTGACATGGCTCGTGGTAGAGAGCCATTCACCGCCAGCACTCGCTCAACGAGGGATAATAATGAGGCAACTGGAACATTAAGCTGAAGGTTGAAAGTAAGAATATCAGCATTGCATGTTTGGATTACATAGTAGCACACCTCAAGAGAGAAGTAAATAGTTGTAAATAATCCAGCAGAGAAATTCACACTACCTTGGATTTGTACGAGCTAGTTAGCATCGTTGAGCTGCAGAACATAAGTGCAGAAACTCTGGATACAATCAACTGTTCAGAGTTCAACGATGCATCATCCAAAGCCCCATCTTGACCTCCCAACGGCAAAGGAGAGTCTTTACCAGGAGGAGCCAATCTTTGGATTGCTTTTTTCCCTACTGTTTCTGCAATACAAGTCATAGTGTTCTATCAGGGAATCTATAGCCACACACAAACAAACAACCAAATAAAAGGAACAAGGAAATTAACAAATCACCTTCTTCTAAACCTTGGAAAAAATTATTTAAATGTTCGTTTATAGATATCAACATCTTCTGAATCAACAAGGACCAGCTGCCTGCATCGCCTTTATTAGCTGCTTTTGGGAGCAATGCTAGAAAGTGGGCAAAATTCTGAAGGTTGGGATAGAAGGAACGAAGTGAGCAACGTTAATATTTCCCTGACTTGTTGATGGAAAAAATAAATTAGTGAACGTATAAAAAACCATGACTACCTTTAACATGTTATAGCTGGTTTTCGTAGAAAATATTTTGGAGGCAATAACTGCTTCAACCTGCAAGGAATATCATTTCAAATACACTCAGTAAAACAGTGCTACAATATCAAATCACCACAAAAGTTTACAAATAAGTATGCTACCACCTAAGCGTAGTATGTGCGTGTATCATAATCACCAGACATTTTACAGATATTTATGTTAGCACCTAGGCATATGGGCAGGTACTCACTAGACTATGAACTGTTGTAATGTAGCTATCAAAATACTGATACAAATAAAAATTAGGAAGCTAATCTGAGAAGCAAAGAGAGCTGACCTTGTCATAACTAGTGTGGAAGGCAGCAGGAAACAAGATAACAATTGTACTCAGCAGATGGACAATGCTTTCCTGCACATTTCAATACCAAGCAAAAGATTCAAAACTGAGAATTCTACCAAATGACATGATCAGAACTAATATTTGCTAAAAAGGGAAACTTCAAGGCCTTTTTAAATATGACACTTACCCATAGTGCTTCTGAAGAATCCTCCTCCAATAGTTTAATAATCGGCAAGACTACTTTCGAAGCGTGTGAAACCGCATCTTTCTTAGTATTCGTGAATCTAGACAGCCTGATTCCAATTAAAAAGCAGCTTAGATTTACAGAAAAGCTTAGAACACAAACAAACAAACAAAAACAAAAAAATGGTATAACCAATCTGATGTATATAGCTTTTCTAACAGACCTTGTAAGGAGATCAGAGATTGAAGTACATGAAGCCACTCGAACAATTCTAGAACTCTCTGGATTCTACTTAAAACAAATACAAAAAAAAACCATTCACTCTCTCAGAAAAACTGGTACAAGACCGAACACAAATCTAACCATATACACATACCTTAATAAGTGATAGTAAACTGTTAAACCAAACAGAGTATAAACTAAAGAAACGATCCGAGCTGCATTCTTGGCAAGTTACTCCAATCAAAACTACACCCACCCAGCATTTATCTGGCTACATCAATAAACCAACATAAATAAAAAAAAAACTCATTTTAAAACAACAAAGTCGTTACCTTTATTTTTAAATTACTAATTTAAGACAAGAAACTGTACCATGTCTGAAGAAACCAGAGCCAACAACCTCTCAACCCATTCATCAACTGCTGATTTCGAAGGCTTAGTTTGAAGCTTCTTCTGGTCAGTTGAAGTCGATGGAGACTCGGATAATAGCTTATGGGTGGAGATGGTTGATACAACTTTGGAGAGTGATGCAAAGTTGACGAGAGGCTGTTTCTCGTTTGGAATGTAATCGGAGAGGATGTTTCTGAGAATCTTAGGCTTTAATTTAGAGTCGCACATGTCGTCGAAACGCTCAAAAGACGCCATTGAAGCTCTCTCAGAATCTACAGAGAGAGAGAGAGAGAGAGATTTAGGGTTTTAGAAACGAAGCTTAAATTTGCAGTGCGGACCCTAAACTCTGATAAATTTGCAAAACAAAACTGAATATTATTATACCTACAAATAGCTCCTAAACGATATAGCTAAAAAATGTCTTTTCTTTGTCTAACATAACTAGAAAATGTTAACTATTAGGCCCATAAACGTTAGACGTTGGGATATTGTCCCTTCTGGAACAACATTAGGGGCTCTGTACATTCTGTGATTTAAATCATTTCAGTCATAACACAGTAGTAAACAGTGGGCTAACAGAATGAAGCAAGGAGAGGAAACCAAATATAGTTTTTTATAATATAAAAATAAATAAATAAATAATGACGGTTATGACCATATTGAGCTTGAATGTCTTTGAATGGAACTCCTTGTAGGAATTGGGAATGTTGAATTTTATATTTTAATCAACAAGGAATGTTATATGAGATATTCATGAGATTCAAATTTGTTCATGGTTTATCCCCAAGTTCTTAGAATCGTTCATGACAAGATGGACCGACCAGGACATCTAGGCTATAAGACCACCCGCAACAAGGGTCCTTAGGGAGAATCCTTAAGGAAATATTAATTTTCTAACCAATGGGTCCCATGAACAGTTAAAGATTTTAAGAATAAAATCTTTATGTAAGGATTGATCCGGATGGATCCTTACACTATTCATGGGCTCCACTGCCCACGTGTCGATCCACGATTGGTCAGATTTTTTTATTTTAAAGAAATAATCCGAAATATCCTTATATAATCTGAAATACTCCTTTTTCTTTTTTCCTAAGGATTCCCCCCCCCAAGGATCCCTTGTTGCGGATGCTCTAATGATATTAATTGGCTAAATTGATTATCAAAGAAAAACAAATTAATAAAAAAAAAGTGAGCTCAGGGACGCGGCGATTTTCATCTGAATTCAGATGAGTGCGAAGGACCCAACCAACGCTATACCAATTTCTTCATAGCTCAGATTGCAACAACCGGGAATCAAACCCGTGTCTGTACCATGGCAGGGTACTATTCTACCACTAGACCACTGGTGCTTCGTTGAACTATGGGATATTACAAATAATATAACATAAATTAAGAGCATGAGTTGGTTACCGGATCAAGTAACTTATTCATGCGTTCACAAAAACATGGTCATGCGGATGAGACTCTTCTGTTTCTTAAGGATGCTGAAGAAAAACATAGCTCATGCGTCTTGCAAAGAGAGGAATGTCTGAGGCAAAAGAACGAAATGCTGTCCAACGTAGTTGAGTGATAAGTCTCTGTCTCCTAAGTTTTACGTTGATTAAGACAGGCTTGTTTCTCTGCGTTTGTGTCTCATTATATAATTACAAACGGAAACACAAAGAAACAACTTTGGCCTAAATTAATAGCAAGACTTGAAACTTCACATATCTCATACAATGCGCAGTATATCTCACTGTCTATCGATCACTTTTGATTATTCTGAGTAGTGGGTTCATGATAGACTATATATGATGTTTTGTTGGTAATTACCCTCTTTGATAAATATTTTTTAACAAATCGGTTCTCACTGTCTCTCCTGTGTGAGAGATCCCGTTGGACATGTTTGGAATAATATTGAACTTAATGATATCGGCATGATTATATTCCAGTGGAAACTACAAAAGAGGAGAAAGTTGAATCAACTTCTATTAATACAAAGCACCAACCCATATCGGAACATCAGACATCATCACTAACTTGATTATTACAAGAAAACTATTAAAAAAACACCATAATCGCTTTGTGGTGAAAAAGCATCAAGGGCACTTGCAGCTTCCGTATAACAGAAAAGAAACTTCTGTAAAAACAAAGCATCGACCCATAAACTGACATCAGATATTACTAACTTAACTAGTACACGAAAATTAAAACACCATTCTTCAGTCGCTTTGTAGTGAAAATCATCAAGGACACTTGCAGCTTCCGTATAGCATGAAAGAGACTTGTTTATTAGCCATCATCAAGGAACAAGAAGTCGCCGGAAATACCGCAAGAGTATCCATCGCATAGGCAGAGCTAAGACGATCTTCTTCAGGTGCCGTATCTTCCTCAAGAATCATTTCTAGGGTTGTGGCAGAGATGAGGCGACGTGGTCGTGAGGGCTTAGCACGGTGAGGGGTCAAGGCAGAGAATGGAGTCAGAGGTTGAGGTGCCATATTATGATGGTCTGGTCGGAAGACGAACATGGTATTTGGGGTATCAGCCATTTTGATCAATGAGTTTTGTGTTCCTTGTGCTGAATTAAAGAGTTAAGGCTTAGAAGTGGAAGTGGAAGTTTTTATCTTTTTATTGTTTTGTTTTTTGGATGTGGTATTGTTGAATTGGAAGATGGATTGCTCTATGTTTATAAAGGAGTTGCGTGAACCATATTGTCCTCAATTATTCTTTCCAAAATAGTATATTTGATGATTTTTTTGTTGTCATGATGGCATATTTGATGGATAATTATAATAAATAAATGATGAAACAGAGAGTTTATCTATATATATTTTTGAATAATAATATAAATGGCTATTTAATAGTTATATACTAGATTAAATTATGTTAATATTCTATTTTGTAAATGTCATGAAAATAATTGGGTAAAGAATGTAGTATATTTTGCTTTCTGTAAAATTGAATTTAATATATACGTCCAATGCAAAAGACAAGAAAAAAGGACAGCAGTAACACCTTTATGAATTAAATGCAAGTTTTGGACATAATCAAAGAGTTTTCAAAACTCAGCTAGCTTGTTCATTCATCTTTCTTCCAAATTCCAAAAACTAAATAGCGATTGTCTTATCAGTTTTGAGATAAAATGTCATTCTTGCTGCAACGTGTTTACATTTTGTTCTTTTTATCACTTTTATATAGCATTTGTGATTTTAAAAAGTTCTTTTTAAAATTCATTAATCAGCATTATTAACCTGATTCGCAGTTTCTAATATACTTAGAAAAGTATAAAATCTAAATTTACGAGCGTGTAATTTGTATATATACAACTTTTGAGTTCATTTGTATACTAAAAGTTTTGTGTAGCTATAATATATAGAAAATGTCATAATAAGTGTCGTATTTAGATAGACGGTGGCAATGGCATATAGGTAATCCAGTCAAATGGTAATCTAACCTATTGAAATTTTGATAACAGGAAGTAACTGTTCGTATAGAAAACAAAATATGTTACGGTGAATGATATATACTGTTAGAAGCTTTGAGTCTCCGTAATTATTGAAGGAACCACGTAAACTTAAACACGAGGCTGATGGCTAGAATACAACGTTTGCTCTTTTAACGCTTTTAATGTGGTCTCATTTCAGATTATATTTTGTGCGCAAGTGACCTTACAAATATATGATAGAAAAGCAGTATTTTGGTGGTTACTGCAAAATTTAATGGGAAAAGGCGTGTAAACTCTCTTTTTGTTTGCTGGTGGATTGTGCCGTGGCTCTGACGGAAAATGTGAGAATGGCCTGTCAATAACATTGAAGGGGTTTGGCTTTTTTTTCCTTGATGAGAGATAAGGCTACACATACCTATATTTACACGTATATGAAAATTTGAAACCCAAAATAGAAGCACAAGCATATATCAGATAGATATCGCGTGGTCCACACTGACCTGTTATTAACATGGATAAAGTGCTCCCACACAAATTAAAGGTTAAATTGTTCTCCAAAGTGAACTTGTACTATAACTGATAAACCGAACCACAACCTAGCTAGTAAATTAGCATATTATTGCTCATGTATATTTACTGAAAGAAGTATTCTCAGAGTTAATATAAATACCTTCATATCTCTAATTCTATCCAAAACAAGTTTTTTTTGTCAAGATACATAAAAATGAAAATATTTTTAAAAACATAAAAATGAAGTAAAATGGTTCCTTATCCCAAACTAGCGGTGCATAGAAAGGTGATAGCATAACAATGTGCTAAACAATCCATCGATTTTGGCGTCGAAATTGCGTGGAAAATAAGAAAGGCAGAATGAAGAAATTTCCAGTCTCTATAATTTCGTTAATGCAAAAAAATGATAAATGTTTTATTCGTCACGCTAATTACGCTCTAATTATGAAAGAAACCGCGTGAATATTAACAAGAGGCTGATAGCTAGAATACAAGGTTTGCTCTTTTTAATTACGCTTCTACTGCTGTTTCACTTTTCGGAATTATATTAAAAAGGTTTACTGCTTTCTGCGCAACATTTTGTCTCGATTAGGCCAATGGCAAAAGCTTAAAACTCTCTTTTCTTTTGGTGATGGATTGTGCCGTGTCTCTGACGGCAAACATGAGAGATGTCAACCAATAACAGTGACTGCTTTTGACCTACATTGCCGTATTGAGATAAGGTCACAAAATACATATATACTAATTAGGGTGAAGCATTGAAAACCAAAATTAAGTTAAAGGTCAAGCATATATCAGATAATCAGATATATATGGAGTGGTCCTTGGATAATTCAGGGTGTTACTCGTGGATATATGACGAACGACCCACCATACCTTATCAATTTTGTTTGACAGTTCTACTCTATGACATTTATTCAATTTCTGTCATTTCCTTGGCAATCAAGTATGAGACTATGAGGCTTGAAATCTTTTGGCAGTTGGGACTGAGGATTCTTCCAATAAGAGAGACTGAGCAGTTACTTTCATATGAAAAGTACTCTGCTAGATCTGACATATCGAAGCACATCTTATTCTTCCAAAGACATGGCCACGAGACTCTTATCCATGACTAAATAGATCTCTTACTATTTCCTACTTCCTACTTTAAGCTTTTATTAGGCATAAAGTTATAACAAGTAGACTTAGAGCTTTTGATATCAACTAGCTGAAGTAAAGAAAAGAGATCACTAAATCCAGGCTAAAACCAAGTTGAAAGAAACATATGTGAGATTGAGATTTTGATCAAATCAAGTAACACACAATTCTTGAAACCCCTCACCAAAGCTTAGGCCAAAAAAATATTGAAACCCTAGAAACATATATATTATAGAGAAATTGCAGCTGATATACAAACATAACCCCTTAATTTGCAAGCATGGATTTTCATCTTTCTCGCTGATGTGTTTTTTTTTAATGGCCAACATGCCCCTATAGATCCTAGACACAACCTATATCGTTTCGAAATTTAAAATACCTACATCCCCTACATCACGTGAGAGTTAATTCCCTATCATCAACTATTGTTCCATTTTTACTTTATTTTCTCCGCCCATTACAATACTTCAAAACTTCTAAAGTCTCGTGATTCTGGATTCACTCTTTTTTGTAAGTACCAGTTTTCTTCATCTCATAAATTTCCTATGTTTCTGTATAAAATCCTCTGGTTTTTACATTTATGATTTAGTTTGTAGAAGATAAAAAATTGGAGTATTTCTCCATGTAATATTTTCCAGTTTTTGGGTCTGATTCACAGTGAATTTATGTTTCTATAGTAAAAAAAAAAAATTCTATATTATCTAGCTATGGCCTCTCTCAACACCAATGGATGGAACTCATAGATCGAAGCTCATTTTCTAAACCTGATCGCTTCAAGCTTCACTTCTTCATTTATGTCTTGCTCCGTCGTGGACGTCTTCCTCGGCCAGCTCGAACCACGCCGTGGACCTGCTTCATCTTCCTGGTTCATCTCAGTTGTCGACTGAAAATAAAGTCACCACTACCATCTCTGCCTTAAGCTTCTTCTTCTCCGCCACAAATCATCGTGATTTCTTATGTTTTGCAACACAAGCCCCTCAACCATTGGGTATTATTGAGTTGACCCCAATTTTTCCAAGTGTACAAATAGAGTCACATTATCACCGGCTAAATAGAACAAAAAAAAGTCTAAATAAAATCTTTACCGTCTGTTTCACAAATAACATTATTAATTAGTATATATTACCGGCTAACTATAATAATGTCGAGATAATTAGTATATAACCATCTAACTATAACAAAAAGTCAAATAAAATCTTAACCGGCTAAATAACCAATTTAATCATTTGTATTCTGATTTCTAATGAGTTAATTTTATGTTTAGCCGAACATATAAATCTAATCATATGTTTTTGTGATTTATTATTGAGTCTTTTTTTCATTTATCCGTATTAATACAAAATAACAACCATCAACTAATCAACATAACCAATAAATATAAATTAAATTTCAGCTAAGAAGTAAAATATCCAGATAAATCAGAATATAACAATGGTCATTTAAAAATGATATATATAAGCTATTTGTATAACTGGTTATTTCAAATCTAAATATCAGCTAACAAATAAAATATTCAGTTAAATGGTAATATAAACCTGCTAATTTATAAAAGATCTGAAAGAGTCACATTATAACCGGCTAACTTACACAATATAAGTCAAGCTTACATTGTTTGAAAAAAAAAACTAATATTATCCAAAATTAAATTAAGAAAAATATTTTTTTAGCCGGCTAAACACACACATACATTGAGTATTGTCTTTATGGGATACCACTGGATGAGAGCCATCTGTCATTAGAGGAAGCTATGTCGAGAAGATTGTAGGAGAGCTGTTTCCGGTGGTCCACCACCGTTGCGCCGTATCTCTATTTTCCATTTATTGCCGCTCAACCATGAATCACAACTTTTATCTCTTGGCATGAATCCTAGTTCCAAACGAATCTTTGAATTGGATATTTGTTAACAAAAGCTTGATTTTTTATCTCTTTGTCGTCTCCTTCTATCTCTCATCATATGAAGTTGATTAAAGGGATAAATAGTCAAAAAGAGATTGTTGTTTCTCTCTCTCTTTTGGAAATTCATAGGGCTAAAACTGTCAATTTGACATTTTCTCTCTCCAGTTTTCACTGCTTTTCCATTCCTGCAAATTACTTATCTTTTTCGATTTTATATGCAAATCGCTCTATATTATATCTGGTGGAAATTTCAATGGAAAAGTGAGATATTTCCTAGCTAAACTTTATCTTCATCAAAATAAAAGACTAGGTCCAAAAGAGGAAGGCATTATCAGTTTTTACGTTTTTTATACTGTTCAGATAAAAGCCATGAACTCCATGTAAAATGAAACAATTCTGCATAAGAGTTTTGTATTATCTCAAAAACAAATAAAAATATATGATACAACCCGGCTCGGCTATATTTTTTTTTTTTTCTGTTTAGCAATCAACCCTTTACTTTCAGAGCCAGATCTCCATAATTTTTCAAGTTCTAAATTTTGTATTTAGTTCTTAAACTTGAGGGGGAAAAGCTTTACAACCTCTTTTATGGATTGGATGAAACGTAATCTTATCACTCATTTTCTACCTTGAAAGTTGAATTCTGTACTCTTTATTCAGCCCATTTTATATTTAGGTTTGCCATAATAGTAAGTAGTACGTAATGACATCTGTTACAAAAAAAAATAAGTACGTAATGAATTCAGTTCAGACATGCTATCTATATAGACAACTTCTAATATGTCGTTTCTAATCATAATTTAATATTTAGTTGTGGACAAAACACTTTAAACATGTACACTTAAAGCTTATAAGTTAGTGATCTGTGTTCACATGTTCATGTCATCATTGTTGGAGGCGGGCTGTTTAAGGTGTTTAACCCAAACTCACACTTCAACGATCATCTTTGGTTAAACAATAACAAAACAATCATCTTGAATTAAATATAGTAAAAATGTCATTCGATACAACTGGCCATCCTGGCAACCATTAGTTTCGGATTAAGCTCGTGGCCCCTTGATACTTACAACGGCTTCTCCACAACACCAAAAGCCAAAATGGACGTTTTATATTGACTATGTTAGCGTCTTCTTTTTTTTTTTTTGTCAAAGAACTATGTTAGCTTTTTTAATATAAGATTCCTCTTACAAATTATTTGGAATTCTGTAGTATGATATGACAAATGAACTAACATTATATAGTATATCATCATTTTAAGATTGTTATTATTTCTGTAAGGAGTAAAACAATTTTGGATTATCAAAGACAATACTTAAATATGAAAAAAGAGTACGTTGAAAACTTGAAACATTGATACATGATTAAGCCATTAAGGTTTTGGATCTGATTAAGAATTTTAAAACACTAATTTGACCAACCATATTTTGTTTTTCTAAAACTCCTTAAAAAACTGATTACAGTCTAAAATTAAACGTGCTGATCATATTAATGAACCTCACCTACTTGTGTCAAGTCAAATAGTATATTTATACGCAATTATTGTAGACGTCACATAGTATGAGAGAGATGCACACAACCTCGTCCTAAGCAGAAATAAATTAATACTAAGTTAATTAATCAAAGTGATTTAAACTTAATTAAATACCTTCCTCGGACTAATCAGAAAGATCCCCCCCCCTTCTCATCTCTGTCTCTCTCTCTCCATCTGGAGATTTTTTTCCTATCAGTCGGCTTCGATTTTTCTTGTTGAAACTTATATATTCCTAACTCCGATTTGAATATTTGCCGCCCACGAAGGTTGAAACTCCGTTTCCAGGGATCCTAGGGGTATCTTCTTCTAAAAGGATGAGCGTTGCAAAATCCCAAGTATGGCAGCCATGCAAGAAGAAGCGATCCTGACGGCAAAAGTCAACAGAGAGCTGTACCTATACATCTAAAACCTAGAAACGAATCTAGAAGAGAGATAGAGAGAGATGTCTTCTCGAGCAACACCGTCGCGATCAGCTCCTTCTGGCTCATCATATTCAGGTAGTAGTAGTAGTTCGGGTGTTAGCAGGACGCGTGTGGGTAAGTACGAGCTTGGTAGAACTTTGGGTGAAGGTACTTTCGCTAAAGTCAAGTTCGCTAGGAACGTTATCGACGGAAAGAACGTTGCCATTAAAATTATCGATAAAGAGAAAGTTTTCAGAAACAAAATGATCACTCAGGTATGTGTATAGATCCATTAGACTTATAACTATGGAATCAAGATTTTACGAAAATGTTTTTTTTTTTAATGTTAGATCAAGCGTGAGATCTCGACGATGAAACTCATCAAGCACCCTAATGTGATCCGTATGCTTGAGGTTTTGAATCTAATTTCCTTTCTTCTTCTTTTACTCATTGCTTCCATATTTAGAAATCGAAATTTATAAGAAATTACTAGACGTTTTATAGGAGATCATTAATTGTATACGTGCGCCTAATTTTTTGAATGTATAGACTTTTTAAAAATGGTTCAAGAAAAATTATTCCTTTAGGTCCGAATTGCCGTCTAGGCGGTGCTTAAACTTATTTTTAGAACATTGGTGCATATTCTTCTTTTTCTTGATTAATTCATACAAATAATCTTAGATTCTTTGAAGCTATGGGAACATAAGTGATCCGTAGTGTTTGAGGTCTGTATCTAACTTGCTTGCATGCTTAGAATCTATAAGCTTTGTTGTTCTACAGTCATACTATTTAATAATCTGAGATTCTTTTAAAGTGATCGTTGGTCATTTCACATATATAATAAAGTTATGGTATGTATTATTTTGCTAATTACTGTGTATTTTCATCTTCTTTTTCAGGTGATGGCTAGCAAGACTAAGATCTACTTTGTATTGGAATTCGTTACTGGTGGAGAGCTTTTTGATAAAATTGTAAGCTTTCTCTGTTTTATCATTGAAGATGGTTTGAAGAATTTTATGGGACTTGATTCTATGAAACTGTGATATGTATCTACTAGGCAAGCAAGGGGAGGTTGAAGGAAGATGGGGCGAGGAACTACTTTCAACAGCTTATTAACGCTGTTGACTATTGCCATAGCAGAGGAGTTTATCATAGAGACCTTAAGGTTTAGGAATCTCATGATTGAATCAAGAGTTTATTATTCAATGTCTTTAAAATAACCAAGTTGCGTCTTCTGGTTGCAGCCTGAAAATTTGCTTTTGGATGCAAATGGGAATCTGAAAGTTTCTGATTTTGGATTAAGTGCTCTACCTCAACAAGTTCGAGTGAGTTTCCATATACTGATTCCTTGTTATAGCATTCTAATATTACACCTGCTTTGACCTCTAGGGAGAAAATTTTCCATGAGTCATCAAAGCTAATTTTGTGAGCCTTCTTTTTTAGGAGGATGGTTTACTTCACACAACATGCGGAACACCCAATTATGTTGCTCCAGAGGTATTTATTTACTTCTACTATAAAGCTTTGAGTATATTCTTTTCTGGTCTCTGTAGCAATCTATTCTTGTCTCCATAGGTAATCAACAACAAAGGTTACGATGGAGCTAAGGCTGATTTGTGGTCTTGTGGTGTAATTCTCTTTGTCTTAATGGCTGGATATTTGCCTTTTGAAGATTCTAACTTGGCCTCATTATATAAAAAGGTTTTATATGTTTCATTCTTCTTCATTTGCTTTGTTTTTTCTCTGATGCATCTTCATATCACATACTATGTGGAAAAGGTTCTATGTATGCCACCTGATTCTTATTTCTTCATGATTACAGATATTCAAAGCCGAATTTAATTGCCCTCACTGGTTTTCTGCAAGTGCCAAGAAGCTAATCAAAAGAATATTGGATCCGAATCCAGCAACGGTATATTTGTATTTTCTTACTTCTTTTATAGCTGAAGAGTGTTCCTTTGTTTTATGCTGTTCGAAGAGGCAAGAGCTTCTACTGTCTTGCCACTGATTTTTTTTTTTTTTTTTTTTTTTATATTGGACAGAGGATTACATTTGCTGAAGTAATTGAAAATGAGTGGTTTAATAAAGGGTATAAAGCACCCAAATATGAAAATGCAAATGTCAGCCTTGATGATGTTGATGCAATTTTTGATGAATCAGGAGTAAGACTTATGTTTCTTTTTTCGGTTAATCGATTTTTTAAAAAACTTTTATCTTGGATGATTGCTTAGCTTGTTTTTATTGGGTAATAGGAGTCCCAAAACCTTGTTGTGGAGAGGCGAGAAGAAGGACTTAGAACACCAGTAACTATGAATGCTTTTGAGCTCATCTCAGCATCTAAAGGTCTCAATCTCGGCTCACTTTTTGAAAAGCAAATGGTACAGCTTTCTTTTTATTCTTTCTGGGATACTATAAGAAATGGAAATAGTCGTTCTTACAGAGATAAGCATCTTTTAATTACAGGGGCTTGTTAAACGGAAAACTCAATTTACTTCAAAATGTCCGGCTCATGAGATAGTCACAAAAATTGAGGCCGCAGCAGGACCTATGGGCTTTGATGTCAAGAAAAATAACTACAAGGTTTGACTTTAGTTACAGATGCACACATCTCCTGCATTTGGTGCTTCTGATTTAAACCCGTATACCATTTTCTTGATTCATCAACAGATGAAGCTTCTAGGAGAGAAATCAGGCCGCAAGGGTCAATTAGCAGTCACAACTGAGGTTAGTTTTCTTAGTGACCGTGACTGCTCACCCTTTTAGTATGTGTAATCTCTAAGTTAATTGACATCTATTGTTCAGGTTTTTCAAGTTGCTCCCTCGCTTTATATGGTTGAAATGCGAAAATCAGGGGGTGACACCTTGGAATTTCACATGGTATGCATGCACGGCTTGAGTTGCACCTTTATACTCTTCATCATGTGCGTATAAGATGATAATCTTTGTCTTTTTGCTTCCGTATCTATATTAGTTTTACAAGAACCTCACCTCGGGTCTTAAGGACATTTGGAAAACTATCGACGAAGAGAAAGAGGAAGGAACCCAAGGTACGCATTTTCTTTGAAGAATCTGTTAGATAAAGCCTAGAAAGTAATTAAGAGATGAAGCATCAATAACAATACAAATCCTGTTTTGTTTCTTTTAGTTTCAGGTGGTACTACTAATGGTGCCGTGGTTGCTTCTTGATACCGTACAATTGGCAAACTGTCTATGTATGCTTTTAATACAGATTTTATTTCTGTATAAATTGCTTGGGGGGGGGGGGGGTTGTGAGTGGTTATGAAGTTCTACAAAGGAAGCGTCACGAAGTGGAGCAAAGCAGCAAATTGGAAACTACATTGGTGGACCTTTTTTTGTTTAATAATTGTTAATCTTTGTTTGATTTCACTGAATGAATGTTGTGAATAGCGTATGCGTNCAGGTTCTATTCGTTTCGCGCATTATTCTCTTCTTTAATGTAGTTTTCAAGCATTTTTGTTATCATACTTACAGAAACGCATGGCTCAGTAATCCAGCAGCCGTTCCACGTGCTTCCGGATCACTGGCAAAACAACTAGTCAGAAAGGACTTTGCTGCTTCCGACTGGATAGAGGAGAACTGTGGAGGTTTGATATCTGCTGCATGGTTTGTGTAAATCTTAGTACGATTGACGTGTCTTTTTCCCCACAGGGGCTTGTCTGTGAGTATATCCAACACAGTGTCGGAAGGAAAAGCTTTCAGCATAACCCCTTGCCAAGTAGTGAAGGTTATTGCGTCTGAAAAAGAACAGCTCACGAGTCAAGAGATTATGGATTTGAAGCTCGTGGAGTATTCAACTCCAGAGGCAAATGTCATAACGCTTGTGAGGAAAGGCTTTAGAATTTCATAGTCCGAGCTAGCTTCAACTGAATTTAGGGTGATGGACAAACTAAGAGGGAAACTGGGTGTGGTTCAATGTGTTGAAGGCTCGTTGCATGAATTCACTAACGCTGGAAAAAAGAAAATCGGGTTTTTGATGGAGTTTGCATTTTGTGGGGATCTTTATGAGAAAAGATCATTGGTGGACCTTTTTTTGTTTAATAATTGTTAATCTTTGTTTGATTCCACTGAATGAATGTTGTGAATAGCGTATGCGTGTGTCTTGTAAAGTACAAGCTTTACATATTTGAATGGTTTTAAGAATTCTTTTCGCCACTTCTACGAGTTTCACTTGACAGTGAACTTCGAGTTAGATACAAGTTAAAACAACATTTTTTTTCCTTATCCAGGTTCTATTCGTTTCGCGCATTATTCTCTTCTTTAATGTAGTTTTCAAGCATTTTTGTTATCATACTTACAGAAACGCATGGCTCAGTAATCCAGCAGCCGTTCCACGTGCTTCCGGATCACTGGCAAAACAACTAGTCAGAAAGGACTTTGCTGCTTCCGACTGGATAGAGGAGAACTGTGGAGGTTTGATATCTGNCAGGTTCTATTCGTTTCGCGCATTATTCTCTTCTTTAATGTAGTTTTCAAGCATTTTTGTTATCATACTTACAGAAACGCATGGCTCAGTAATCCAGCAGCCGTTCCACGTGCTTCCGGATCACTGGCAAAACAACTAGTCAGAAAGGACTTTGCTGCTTCCGACTGGATAGAGGAGAACTGTGGAGGTTTGATATCTGTTGCATGGTTTGTGTAAATCTTAGTACGATTGACGTGTCTTTTTCCCCACAGGGGCTTGTCTGTGAGTATATCCAACACAGTGTTGGAAGGAAAGGCTTTCAGCATAACCCCTTGCCAAGTAGTGAAGGTTATTGCGTCTGAAAAAGAACAGCTCACGAGTCAAGAGATTATGGATTTGAAGCTCGTGGAGTATTCAACTCCAGAGGGAAATGTCATAACGCTTGTGAGGAAAGTCTTTAGAATTTCATAGTCCGAGCTAGCTTCAACTGAATTTAGGGTGATGGACAAACTAAGAGGGAAACTGGGTGTGGTTCAATGTGTTGAAGGCTCGTTGCATGAATTCACTAACGCTGGAAAAAAGAAAATTGGGTTTTTGATGGAGTTTGCATTTTGTGGGGATCTTTATGAGAAATTCAAGATGTTGAAAGGAAACACTGGATTGTTGAAAACATTCACCAGAATGATTCTCACGGGCCTTGCATCAATGCATGAGGCTGGAATCATTCATGGAGATTTGCACCCGAAAAATGTTCTTGTGTTTGAAGGAGAAGTGGTAAAGATTGCTGATTTCGGTGTTTCCAAATTTGTTGACGAGATGAATTGGCTGATAAGATGTCATGGGATGGAAGTAACTTTCCCTCCATCACAGACTCAGGATTGATACTAGTGGTATGCCAGCGCTAACATTATTTAGTTATTTTGATATATGGTTTGGTTGTTAATGCACAATTTTTGTTATTTTTAAAAATTTAAAATATTTCTTTGGTATCTTAAAAATAAACTATTTATCGAAGACATAAAGACATATTAATTTAATTTTTCTATTAGCGTAATTGATTTTATGCTAATTGTAAAATAAATTAAATTCTAATTATATAAATGATAAGTAGCGCCGGTTTTATAACATTATTTAGTTATTTTGATACATAATTCAAATATATAGTTTGGTTGTTAATACACCTTTTATGTTTATAAATTAAACAACATTTTCATGGTATATTAGAAAATAAACTATTTTCGAAAATATAAAGATATATTAATTTGATTATCATGTCAGCGTAGTTGATTTTAAACTGATTGCAAAATAAATTAAACTATGATTATATGCATGGTAATTGTTAAATATTTACTTAAGAGTATTTCTTTTTTGCTTTCATATTAAAATATGTTACATTTGAAAGAGTTAAGAATAATAAGATCTGTTTTATAATTTAAAGGAAATACACATGGATAGTCGACATCAAATCTTGAAATGGATTATTTTGTCAAACTAAATTTCTAATGGAATCCAAACCAAAAAAATATTATTACAATACTATAATCACCTACTTATGTGAACTGTTGTACTTCAATATTATCAAGAGGATTGTCTTACAATCAATATGAAAATATAAAACATATTTTGTTTATTAAGTTGGCGAAACATAGTTTTTACAAAACATGATAAGTGATCTAATATGAAAATATGATGCATATTTTGCATATACCATTGGCAGAATATATAGTTTTTACATAGACTCTTACTTCAATCTTGTATATATTAAATTATGAAAAATTAAGAGTTACTTTAATATTTAAATCAACATAATAAGATGATACTTGGAAGATAATATTTTATTAATTTAATATTGTGGTTTGGTGTTAATTCTTTTGTTACGCTCGTTTTTTAGTGTATTTAATTTATATAATAAATTTTTTATTAAGTTTTAGTTATGTTCTAATTTTTTTTCCAAATACGTACTATTAAAATCAAGAAAATATGTATGTCCAATATGTTGTAGTGTTTTCCAAGTGTTATTAGACACGTTAGGATTTTAGCCTCTTTTAGTTACAAAATTAATATACACTCATACATTATTACACATACTATAGCTTGATTGTTCTTATCAGATACTATAATTTGATTGTTCTTGTGTTTCTTAAAAATATAAACTGTCTGTGTAATTTCCATGTTTTAAGTTTGTTGTTATATTATTTTCTCACATAAGAGATACTTGAATAACTATGATACACATTAATGGATCAGCAAAAAAAAATCAAAATAGATACTCCAACACTTTCCATTTTGTGTTTAATGTATATTTTACGGGTGACTGGAGATGATGATCGATCTAAAGTTCTGGGAAAGCATTTTCTATCCATCTTTTACGTTGCTTCTTGACCATTATTTTTGTTGGTATGTCGTTGGTTTCACTTTTTATGTTTTTGGACTAATATGTATAATCATAAATGTAATTGTTAAAAAATGTAATATTTGCAAATAGAAAGAGTGAGATTAACAGCATAGCTAAACTTTTATAGAAGAGTACATTTTTTTTCATTTGTTTGTAATAGTAAACGTCTTATGATTGAAAGTAAAATTGTAAGGTGACAATCTTTAACTGAAAAGACAGTAATATATATAGATGAGCTGTGGTAGCTGGTTTTCTTCTGGATTCTCACCACCTGCAGTCTACATGACATACACTGATACACAATGTTTTCTATTGAAAAAAAGAATAGAACAACAGTGGTTTGTTAATGTAAAGTATATAGACATTACCAGCATTTATTTTCTATGATTTTTACAGTATTTTAAAATCTTAAAGGCATAGTGCTTTCTCTTGATAAAGTCCCAATAATCTACTAATTCTAGTTTAGTTTTTATAATTGTTGATTGTTATCAAATATATTAATCTGAAATTTATAGATTTGCCAACAACCTAGACTAAAAGAAAAAAAGATAAATAGTTTTAGTTGTATGTTTTTTTACCTAAATTTTGCTTTTGTACATGTCAAATAAATTTGAAATTTTTAAAACTCTTTTTCGATTTTCATAGATTTTTTTTTTAAATTTAAAATTTATTAATATATTTTAGATTAGAATTAGCATAAAAATGATACAATCTTTGAAGTAAGTGTATTAAAATGAACAAAAAGTAAGAAAATAATTAAGATATTAAAAGTCTTAACGAAATTTAATTAGAATATTTTATGAAAATTTCTCTTTACTTAAATCCAAAAATATTATATTATATTATTAAATAGAAAAAGTTTATGGTTAATGTGACATAAATTATCAGTTATAAATCTATCAGTATTTTATAAATTCTTCTTTAACATGTTTGACTTTTTCAGCAAGAGCAAAATGGATTTTATCATGACAATATTAAGCAACTTGTAAGATCCCGTTTCCATCAAAGTCATCATATACATAGAAAATTGCCAGAAATCCCATTTTGAGAAGAACCCATATCATGTATACATAGGACCTACGGAAAGCAAACATAACTTCAAACTTTTGCCAAGGTTCCCAGTGGTTAAAATGTCTTATGAATGTTGGATATCTTGATACTGATTTGATCAATCCCTGAAGCCTTTTAAACCAAAACCCAACACAGGTTAAAGCGAGACGACATTCATTCACATGTGAAGTTTTAGTTTATAATCTTACCTGCGAGCAAAAGGGTGAAGCTCGGCATTACTTGGTTCCGTCAAATGAAGAGATTTTGAGCTTTCAAGTCTCTCTGATTACAGCAATACCAACTTTCCAATATCCTCTTCTTCGGAGGATAGGTTTGTTACTTCATTATGGTATTTAATGGCAAGAAACGAATGCAAAAACCAATTAAAGACGGTCTTTTGAGTGGTTCTTTGTAGTTATCTCCGTCAGACTAACATCTACATGAAAGCACACAACAATTATGATTCAGAGAAGCTCTAAATATACGGTTCTCGTAACCATATTGCAACGGACCGAGTAACAAACCGGTGGAAAAGGATCTGATAGAGCTTAGAAGCTCGTTAAGAAGGTAATAAGCGGTTAACACAATGCTGATGACTTGACTACTTTTTTTTGAGTTTATAATACCTTCCACTACCGTAATCTTTCGGTCCTGCCTACATACCAACAAAAAGAGTTTCCAAAAAGAGTTTCCAGGAGCTGCAGAAACCAATAAAAGATTTCAGACAGTAGTAACCAAGCTGCAGAAACCATTAAAAATATTTCAGATGATAGTAACAAATAAAAAGTCGAGAAAAAATGGTATTAGAGAGATTGTCGAGTACTTAAAGTGGTTTCAAGTCAATCATTGGGCCTCTTGATGGAGTTGTCTTGAAATACCAAGAGAAAAAGCCGAAGTACCACCTTCCTCTTCGTTTCGGAAAGTTAGTCTTTAAACTCGCTATTACTCATATCAGTGAAACGTTTTACAAACTATGAAGTAAGCTTAGTTTACAGTACTCACCTTTGTGGCCATCATATACACCGAAGAAGAGACCAAACTTTGAGGGAATAGACTGTGGAGCTCCATCGGTAACGAAATCTTGGATGAGCGGCGTTTGTCAGAAGGAAGATGAATCAAGAGGAGGGAGAAGTTAATCAATTAAACTGAAGAAAAATTAAACTGACCCGTTTTTTTCTCTAAAACATTTTTGTCTCTGAAAACAACACTCAGATATATGAATGGTTTGGTTATAAATATTACGATACATCTTTCTGACTCATATAAAACAACAGCTGGTTCAGAACGGTGAAGGTAGATGTCCGAGGAAGAGCTTGTCAGGGATCGAGGAAAAGACCATCCCAGGTTATAAGAACGTAACTTACAAAGAAGCTGCTGCCGAGAAGGAGATGCAGTTCATAGACAAGACCGTGGATACTGGTGCTCATCCTCCTACACTGCCCAACAACAATGTTCCCGGGCCTAAAGGTTTTTAAGTATATTGGTTTAGCTTATAAACCGGGTTTCGGTTATTAAACCGGTTAAACTTTTTTTTTAAATTTTCATATTTCTTGTCACCACCAGTTTGTTAAGACGTTGGAGAGAAAAGGGTACTTGTACGGCAGCATGATGGCTTTGCTTATGGGGATAGTGGGAGTAATGAGGCTAACCAAGAACATGCCAAGGAAGGCCAATGTGTACCCAGACGGGGTGACTGTTTTGCCGACGCAGGAGTATATGGCGATGGTTAAGAAGATGACAGATCTTGAGGAGAAATGCAAATCCATGGAAGCTGCTCAGGTTGCGGTTTCTATGGAGAGAGAGAAGGTTCTCGACGCTGCTCTTCGTCGTGTTGACCAGCTCTAGCTTCAGTTGCCTGAAACCAAGAAGGTGCAGAAGCTTCAGTTGTTCTGTTTTTGTAATTGCTCTGTATTTTTTTTTCTATTAGGCGCTGGACGAGACAATGACGAGGCAACATGAGATAATGGCTTACATTGAGAAGAAAAAGAAGAAGAAGAGAAAGGTAAGTACACATTATTATCACCTTAAGAGTGATTACATATTACATACCTTTTTAATTGCTTCATGAATAATCATCTATTTTTCTTTGTTTTTGCATTTTCAGTTCATATTTTTCTGAAACACTGCGCCAGCCAGCCTTCTAAACTGGAGAATATATAATGAACAAGTCTTGATTTGCCTTGTGTTTAAAGACTCTAATTCTCCCTTTTTTTATAATTGTTTCTCCTTTTCTTCAGTAATAAAGTGTTTTGTAATATAAAACTTATAAAGACCAGCTTGTCATCATCATCATAAAAGAGAAAGAAGTCTCCTCTTTTTACATTATAATTCGAACATAAAATGAGATGACAACGTCTGTTACTGTTTGTTTTAATAAACAATTGGTTCTGTTCCTCTTCTTTATAAACGAAAATCTACAAAGGAAAAGAGAAAGAGAGAGAGACGCTTCTTCTTCTTTCCTCTTTTTAAAAACAAAACATGTGCTTCCTCTTCGTCTTCTTCTGTAAACACAAACAATATTGATGATGAGATTAGGGGTTATGCTATGACAGAATTTGAATGAATACAAACATTCAAAAGAGTAAAAACAGACCTGGGACTGAGCAAACTCTTGACGGTCAATGTAAGCTAGTAATTCTTCTAGCCTCATCAGAGCTTCATATAGAGCCTGGCTCCAAAAATAAGAAAACGTTTTTTAGAGAACATGGAACAGTCTCAGGTTCTAGTTATTGTTTGAACATGGTGTATTCAATTTATACCTTCTTCGTGGCTATGAGCTCGGCTTCAAGTGCGTCTACACGGCAAACAGCTGCGTTAAAGAAGCTCTTCTTTCTCAGAAGGCATCTCATTTGGCTTTGACTGCAGTGCTCCTATTTTCTCCTCAAGTTCCGTTAGTTTCTTCATCACTGTATTGAGGAGTTCAGCTTCCTCCTCTCTAGCAGCAGTGTTTCCTTCGATTTGCGGTTGCATTGTAGGCGGTGGAAGCTGCTTATTCACAAAACGGTACGATACTGTACGGAAAAAATGCGAGAATCGCCATGAAACATATTAGGACACGAGAGCACCAAAGCTTTCATGCTCCTTTGGGACATTTGGGGTAACAAGAACTCCTGCGAAAAGTTTTTTTAATATTTTTTTTCAGTCTTAAATGCCAAAACTGAAAACAGTATTTCCCTAAATCACAAGAAGTTACCTTTGGATTGAAACCTGTTGATGGTGGTGGGTTTAACCTTCCAGGTGGTGTCAACAGCTTTGTCAACCATTGGAACATACTCATCATAACCATTGGAACATACTCATCGTTACTCAAGGCCATGTAAGTGGAATCAGATCTGTTTTCTAGGGTTTCATTGAGTAGGTTTGGAATCGAATAAATATCTGCAATCTCCGTTTCTGGGTATTATGAGTATGTTCCATGGTTGACAAAGCTCTCATCATAACCTGCCAAACTACCGGCAAACCATTGTTAACATTGGTGGATTTTTTTAATAATTGTTAATCTTTGTTTGATTGGGATGTTGTGAATAGCTTATGCGCGTGAGAGTATCTTGTGGCTTGATCAATGTGGTGAACTGTAAAGTAAAAGTTTTACATATTTGAATGGTACACGAATTGTTTTCGCCACTTCTATGAGTTTTCACTTTTCGCAGTGAGGTTCGAATTAGATACAAGTGAAAAAGAAGAATGTTATCTTTACCATAGGAATAATATGTGACGGAAATGCACAACAATTTAGAAAGCAATATAATACATCAATAATTTTTTTTTTTTTTAAATGAACAAATAGGCTTTGCTTGCTCTGTATCTACTATAAAAACAAACAAAAACAACATTCGTTTTTTCTTATCCAGGTTCCATTCGTTTCGCACGTTAACTTGATAGTTTTCAAGCATTTTGTTATTTTCTGTATATATAAGAACATTGACAATGGAAGCCACATATGCAACACATGGGAATGTTCATGACTTTAACAATCATAAAAGATACAAGCATCTGCTTTTCCTCCTCTTATTCTTCTTACATTTTAAACCAACATTTCCGGTTTATGAATTCCGGTTTAGCTTGAGAGTCCTTCATTTGTTACGTACACAGCCCATGCTTCCTACAATTCCAAAATGCCAGCTAAGAGTTAGTGACCATAACAAGAACCAAAGCTTACAACTTACAAGTTAAACCAATCTCGGTTTAAGTACCTGAAGAATGGAGAATACTCTGCTCGCGACCGACTTCTGAACCGGTGAAGTTCCACCTCTCTGTTGAAGTTTATCTGGATGCAAACAAAGCCGAGCTTTTTGGTAAGCTTTCTTCACTTGTGACCCATCTCTAAGATTTGCCAACGGTATTGCGTGCCAGTTGCTATCTGACCAAAGAACCTGAATCAAAATCCCGGTTCAATCAGAATCAGCCGGTTTACTTAGCCTCAGACAAAATTAAAAAATTTTAAACTCGTTGACTTACATGATGTAGAGTTGAGAGGAGGAGTCTAATGTTGGTCTCTTTTCCGGTTAACCAGATTCTTATTTCTTCATCTTTCATCTCCATCTCCACCTGCAATTATACAAACTGCCACGTCAGATTTTTATTACACTGAGAACATTAGTTACTGGTTTTGTCGGGAAGATTTTAATATATACTTTTTTTTTATCAAAATAAATTTACACTAACCTCTTCTTCAGATTTGGCTTCTTCTTCTTCTTCGCTTCTTCTTGAATCCATTAAGTCTTCTTCTTCTTGTGTTTGCTTTGGTTCTGGCCGTTGAGATCTCTCCTTAGCCCAAGCTATTGCTTCATCCATGTCGTTCGAATCCGAGTTCCCTCGATCAAAACGATCTGAGTTTATTTCAATCACGTAAGAACTCATCTCTTCTTCCTCTTCCACCACCTCCTCGACTCTACAGTCTCCGGTCGTCCTCTGTTTCGACTCAGTGTGTTCTTCTTCTTCGTAGACAAAAGAAGAAACAGGGGAAGACGCTGGAGAGCTTGGTCCGTAATCATCCATTCTCCTGAAGGAGTTAGGATCTAAGCTCATGGTCTCCGGAGAAGATCTTCTTGATCCGCTGAAGTGTGGTTTTCTGTAGTAAAAATCTGATCTTTCGTGGCCGGAGAATGAATCTGCGGATGTTGGAAACGCCGGGAAACTCTGTTTCTTAGATTCCCGCTTATGACTTCTCGATGGTACGTTTAACGGTCTACACACAAAAAAAAAAAACAGAGCATCCGCAATTACGAAATTGTCCTCAGAAACTAAACAGGGCATCATAGCGCAAGTTACAAAAAAAATAGAGCATATCGAAATTACGGAACTGTCCTTATAAATTAAACAGAGGTGGAGGGTAGAGTGGTAAATGATTCACCTGAGTTTAGAAGTAAAAGAAGAGAACCCCACGTCATCGCCGGACGTCGCCGCCGGTGGTGGATAATGAGGACTGACCTCCTCAGACGTGAGCACCGACGAGGAGTGCGACCTCGACTTCGGCTTCTTGAATCCCTCCTTGGCCGTCCCACCGCGACCGCCGAACACGCCGTCGTAAAACCCACCTCCGCCGGAGGGGATCCTAAACGCCGTCAAGTTTCTGCCGTGAGATTTAGAGGACGGAAGTGTGCCGCCGGAGGATATTCCCGGGGGAAGGAAAACCTCGTCGTAGAAACAGTCGGAACGGGAAAAGTCGCCGGAGAATTTTCGGGTGAGGACGCTACGCGGCGGACCGCCGAAGACGTCGGCGAAGTCTTCGGCGTCGATTCGAGCGTCCATGGATTTTCGAGCAAAGGAGAAGAAGGGATCAAGGTTTAAACCCATCTTCTTACGCCACGATTCGTCCATTTCGTCGGTGTAGGTTTTTTTTTCTTTCTTACTTTGGTCACTCGAACTCTTCTTAAAGAGAGCGAAGTGAAGAGAGAATGAATGTGTTGAGTGTGTACACAAACGTAAACGTATATATAGTAGGCAACGGAAAATAAACGATTTAGTTTAATTATTGATTTGATTTGTTTTCAACTCATTTTTTCTTCGGTCTGAGAAAATTTTAGTTGCACTTTAAATTTATTAGTTTAATAGGACACATTTAATGTTGGATAATGTTGTGTAGACGCATACTCCCCTCGGTTCCTAAATATAAGATGTTTAGGTAAAAATACACATATTAAAAAATTATTTTTGTCTAGAAAGATTAATAAAATTATAATTTTTAATTAATTATAAAATAACTTATTAAATATGATTGGTTACATAGCTTTCCATAAACTAAAAAATTTACCTAGAAAAATAAAAACATCTTACATATTAAAACATCAAAATTCTTTAAAACATTTTATGTTCATTGTTTTAATTGTAATCTAATTCGTTTTCTCTTTGTCAAGTAGTGTAAAAATTAATTTCAGTTTTATGTTAATTTTATTATAAATAATTTTCAGCATAAAATTTTTTATACCTCTATTTTATGTTAAATTAAAATTATTTAAAATAAAATAATATATTTCATTTTTATGTGTAATTATCATTATATTTTTACTCTAAAACAGAGTAAAGCTGAAATAAAAAAGTTAAGAGAAATTATGTTATTTCTATTTAAAACTAATACATCGCACATGCTTAACCTAACAGTTTTGTAAGTGGCCATATATGAAAAACTATTTGTACTTTCAAAAAAAAACTACTTGTACATCATTGGATAATTTTTATCAAGAAAGACTGACATATACTCCAGATTACGTGTTAATATGATACATTTTGCTTAAATACTTTTTTTTTCTTTCTAGAAAAAGTAAGGATTGCTCAACACACTTACATATATGTGTAATAGGCAAAGAAATATAAAAGGTTTTAGGAAGGTTATATTTCAAGAAGGTTTTATTACATACCTTTTTTTTTCTCTTGCTAATAGTTTTTTTCTTTTTTTGAATTTCCAAGGGAATTCAAGTCTTGTACCTTAATCTCTCTTAAATCTGAAAACAGTTTTTATTAATATCATTTCTAATGTAAAACATTCTTCTTATGATAAGCACATGAGCACAACAGTATCAACACATGCAATTAAACTAATTGGATTGCTGCATCTGTGGTTTAGTAAAGTAATAATTTTGAGATAGTCTTTTGTTCAATATTAGTATATGTATATGGATGTACTTATACAAGTATTTGATATGTTATAAATAGAAGCGAATATGTAAATCATGTATGGTAGAACCTCTATAAATTAATACTCGATAAATTAATAATTTTTATAAATTAATAAAAATTTTGGTCCCAAGTTGGGCCGGTTCAAAATATGACATAAATCGATAAAATAATAAGATAATAACTTTTTAGAAATTCCTATGTAAATATATGGTCCCATTAAAGTCATAAATTAATAATATTTCCATATACACATTTTTTATAAGTATAACCTATACAATATTGTTGATTTTATATTAACAATGAAAATTCATGTATTCTTTCTTAACATTTCAATATAATTTTAATATTTAGTAAAATTATATAAAACAAACCACATAAATTATATGAAACATAAAAATATAAACTAATTAATATAATAAAATAATAAGAAAGTCAAATTTCTAAAATTTTATGAATATATATATACCGTAAAAGTAAATATAATTTTATTTTATAAATGAAAAATATTTAAAAAAGATAAAAAATCTATAAAAAAAACTTTTGTAAATTAATATCTCTATAAATTAATAAAATTTCAAAGTCCCAACATTATTAATTTATAGAGGTTTTACTGTAGAATTTAATTTTTTTTTCGTCATAAATTAGCAGAAGTTATTATATTTTTTCTTTGTAACTAATTAGCATAAGTTATTGCCACATTTTTTTTCATAAGTTATTGCCACTTGGAGGAGTGGGAGCCCTATTCCGAAAGACATGATTTAATGGTTTCCCTTTTGTTTAGCTGTATAATTTATTTTATCTTTGTTTATTTTTCAGAATTGTTTAATTAATAATTTAACATCTCAGTTATTTTTGGATTATAGTGGTCCTAGTGGAGTGTCAACCAAAAACAATTCTTATCTTATAAGCTTAAATTGTGTTTCAATAATTTACATTATAAAATATTAATATGGACCCTACCTCCTGAAATATCAAATATCTAACTATGATATTTATAAATCCAGTAAAATGTGTTTCGTTTGTTGTAATGCCAAACCACTCACATAGATCGAGATGTTTCCCTTAGCCGGCGGATGACATATATTTCCACAAACACAACGCCTAAATAAGGGAAGTTCGATGAAAACCACAAGGACCAACAACACAAATAGAACATGCAATGCCAACAAGATTTGAAGACCTTTTTACCAAAAAAAAAAGACTTGAAGAACCTAGGTAAACCGATCACTTTTAAATGCAAGCAATTTAAATTAAAAATCCTTCACTTCCTATAGACAATGTGTTAGGGAAAGGATTATTTATTATAAATGTGATTATTAAGATATTGAAGAGAGGTGGGTGCAGGAATGACATATACCATTCGGAGGGGACAATGCATGCTATAATGTGATGTCAATAAACTTTCTTCCCTACCAAAAAGCCACACTCTTCTTACTTTCCAACACATGCTTATCATTATTACCAATTAATTCTAAAAAACTACTGTTAATTTCTTTTTAATCATCTGATGTCCCCGAATGGACAGATCATTAAATGATCATTTTATATAAGTGCTACTCACTTCTTATTTATTTTAATTTTTGTTTGCATTTTGGGAAATTTTAATAACTAGGTAATGTAGTGGTTATTATTTGTTTTGGAAATAATAATTAGGTAAAGCATGAGAAACATTTTATTCATTTATTAAGTTTCATTTTTTGATTCTTTAAAATCAAAAATAGGTGCAGTTGATGTAACACAAGTTTTGATTAAATAAATTTTACATTCATTCGGAAAAATGAGGTAAGAACAAAAAAAAAGGGAACAAGCCTTTAGAACACGTATCAGATTCAGGCCATCGTATAGGAACATTACAGGTGAAAATGCAGATCAGGTGGTCTTAACAGGGGACAACTTACTTATTTAACAATATTTGAATACAATATAATGAAATAAATTACAAAATTAATCCTTTCTATAAGATTTGCTCCCTTAAGAGCTTTGATCATTTATATAAATTAAAAACAAACTAAAGAGATAAACTAAAGAATGTTCAGAGTGATCTAGAAAAATCAAGACAATCAATTAATTAGTAGCCATTCCAAGCATGTGTGTGAGCTGTAATGCTATGCTACAAAGATGTTACCTCTAACTTCTAAGTTATCAAATTTTAATTTTGATACAGTTTAAAGATCAAATCACCTTTTATAAAGGTTAAAAATCTGAGTGGTCTACCATTTCCAATTATTTTTTATTTTTCATAAATGGTGATAATTGCAAAAATGAGTTCAGTGCCTACTTTTAATGAGACTCATCATATACATGTAAAGTTACCTAGAAGACTATTATACATTTCACTAGTAGAGCCATGTAGTATAGTTTTGAAATGAATAGATTTTTCACAAGAACGTGACAGTACAGAGGCAATGATCTTAGTGGAAACTGGAAGACAATTACAGGTAACAGAACATGGGAGATAATCCAGCAAACAAAAGCATCATGTTCCTTTGAATAATACCAAACACAAAATCCTCAAAGACACACAATACAGTCAAGGTCAAACACAAAGAATGGATGGCCATAACCAATGTGCTTCCTCTTAAAAAAATCCCAGGACAAAGTAATAAGCCAACGAGGTAAGCGATTGTAACCATAAGCAGACAAAACAATGTACAGTTAAATTTTAACCTAGATCACACAAATAACACGGCATTCGAAAACGAAAAAAACAACTTAGGATTCTATTGTTTAGCCATAAATGTTAATCCTTTGTAACCCTTTGCCAACTCTTTTGAGGGTATTTTCAATACATAAGATGCTAAAGAACTTACTAGATGATAAATCTGAGCCGTAGTTCATACAAAGTAGTTTTGGTTGTAAAGTTGTAATTTGTATAGGCCAACTGACCACAGAAAATAATGTACAGTAATGTAAAGATATTAAACAGTTCTCGCTGTGTCTGCATCCACAAGCAAGTCCTTACCACCCCTGAAGCTCCAGTAGCATAAAACTGCTAAGGGTTGATGTAAATATCACAAATCCAAGGTAGAATCCTGTAGACAATAGTCCTCCACTAAAAGACAACAACAAATATAATCACTATCGTAAAACTGGGGACATACCATTTAAGCATTACAGACAAAACAACAAATCACATCCCCAAATATATTTTCCAAAAAATACTATTTCACAAGAGATTTCTTGAAAGTAACACTTTCCTTTTAGCATGATTGTGTATGGGAGTATATATGGTAACAGAGAATGGTAGCGTAAGAAACGAGCTTTCATAAGGGTTCTCTCAGCCTTTACATGGAAAAACAAAGAGCAAGATGCTGAATTGTGAATAGCTCAGAAGTTGCTAAGCTCCACCAGAAGGCAACAGTTGAAGTCCTATATCAAAAGCATTAGTTGAGGAAGGTGTCCTCTTTACTTTTAACAGTTTCCAACTTTGGCTTATTATCAGAATCAGCCAAAGATGCAAATATTATTACGAGATATGACATTCAATATCACCAGGTTCACACACAAAAAAATAATGACCCCATTAAGTTTAAGCCTCACATTTTCATATATTCTATTTCTAGCAATTGAATCATATATGTCCCAAAAGATTTCTTTTTTTTTCTTTTCATAATTGATATTATCATTTGCGTATACCTTTCACATAAAATGTGTATAGATTGACAAAAGAGAGTGCTGAAGTAACTACACAACCCATATGCATCAGTCCACTGGCATGAATTCGTTCCAGGTTATCCAAGAATGTGGATATATGATACTATGATTCATGGGGAAGT